AGTTCTAATTAGATTTATCATTATTAGTTTTATCGCTATCGTTATTATCACTATAAAATTAATGAATACAATTAATTTTAATAAATTGTTAAATTTTATTATAATTAAATATAATAATTATAATAACGATATATTTAATTTATGATTTATTTAATAATTATAATAATGATTATAATAATGATAAATCTAATTAGAACTATAATACGCGAAGAGGGTGAAATATTGGGGCAGGATGTAGCATTTTCTGTTCATTTCTCTCACTATTACCTCTCAATTTTTCCCTCTCTCTCTCTCTCTCTCTCTCTCTCTCTCTCTCTCTCTATTTCTCTTCATTTTCCGCCTATCCCTTTCTCTCTCGCTCTCACCCCCAAAACGTCTCCGGAGAAGGCTGATTCTTGGAGCCGGTCGCGAATCCAATGGCGTCAGACGAGGACTTTCAGCTCGCCCGGAGCGTTCTCCGTGGGCGCCCGAAGAATCGGGGAAAGATGCAGCGGATCGGAGAAAATTTGAAAATGTGTATTAACTTAACCCGCATCGGAAACTACTCCCCAAGTAGGGGACCGGGGATTCGGTCGTACGAACTTCTGAACAATATCCGCAGCGAGTTTCTTATTGTCGAACTCGCACAGTCGCGGCGGATGCCGTTCTCGCGGGATGCTTGAAAACCGTTTTTTCTCTCTCACCTCCCGCCCCCGGAAACGTGTATTTCGCGCGCGTAGATTTTCGGCTAGACGGGATCGATGGAGGTCCCGAGTGTCTGAAATGCCGACCGGAAACTTCGCCTCGTGCGGGGGCCTTTTACGCGATCCAAGGCGCGAGGCAACGCTGCTTGAAATCATATTGCTGAAATACTTCTCGTTGCTCTCGTTTCCGATAATTTTTAATGAATACAGATTTTGATAAATAATATTTAACGAATTCAACGGTGGTGTTCGCGTCGCGATAAATATTAACGACAAAGAAATAGAAATGTTTTGGACACAATCGTTCGTGTCATACGTTCAAACATACAGTGTGGCTCGTAAAAATATTCGTACACCTTTAAAAGCGCAGTAACTTTTTCAAAACTGAACTGAATGACTTAAATTTTTTTTAGCTTTGAAGCTTTTACTTAATTTTGCTATTACTTGGAATGAAATGAAAAAATGAAAGACTCTCGTTTTTTAACCTTTTTATCTGAGCCTATAACGATAATTTAAAAAATGTAGAGAAGACACTGGCGATTGTCGACAATTATAAAAACGAGGTACGAGGTTCAAATAAACGTATTATTATTATATAATAATAATATAATACGATATTATAATATAATATTAATAATATATTATATATGATATTATATTAAATTATATATAATATTATAATATAATATAATATAATATTATATATAATATATAATATTGTAATCGAATTATTAGGAAGAATTTACTGTGCACATACACGTTGCCCCAATAATTTTCCATTAGCGTTAAAAAGATCAGCCACGAGCAAACGAATTTGTCCAGACCCTGTGCTACGTGTTTTCAACGCGTGCCCGAACAAATATTCGCGCATTTCCCATGGAAGCATGTCCGTAGTTTCGACAACGGTGGAGTCAAAACTACGAAAAACTGTTTGTCTTTTGTCTGATCGACCGCGATAGGGATCGACGTCGTGCCACGGTGCATGTCTGTATCTTGTTGGATCATTAATGGGGAACAGGAGGCAAAGTATCGTGTTCTACGGCATTGTTAGACTGTCCGCAGGAAAAATATTTTGGGCGCAAATTGGAAAGCTGTCTGTTCTATTTTTGTCGAGGATGAAAAAAACCGCGGCTCCCGATCCGCGATATATACATATACATATGTATATCGAAAATATCGTTATACGTACCTGAGAGCTTTTAAATATCGGGCCAAGTAAAAATGTGTTTGCCGGGTTTCCGTTTCCGGTCGTGCCGGCTAACGGAAACTGAAATATACTTTTATACGTATTTATTGTTATTGTTCCGCGCCGGCGGAACGGTAATAGACCACTTTTCTCAATCCACTCGCGCGCCGTGTTTCGCAAATCAGGCTGCTAGTAAATAAAAGTTACGGTCACCATCTTACGTAACACGAGTTACGAGCCCCGGCCGGCGGTCGTAATGTTTCACCTTCTACTTTATTCCGGTGTTTGATCTCTTCTTTAATGCAAAGCATCGCGCCGGGCCCGATCGTGATTTCTTGTTGCGCCGCGGCTACGTTTCGAGGGAAACGGGACCGGTTACAACGCGTCGATGCATAAATATTAGGTCTACCGGAAAGTTCTGTCCGTTTTTGAATTGAGATATAACACAATTTTCATACGTTTGATAATGTTTATTGTAGAATATACTTTCCATCGTTACTTACGACTTCTTGCCAGCGCGATGGCAACTTGTAAATGCCATTTTTAAAAAATGATTTACTTTTAGAGGCGAAGAACTCAACTAGTGCTTGGTCGACATCGGCTTCGGTTTTGAATTCTTTTTCCTGTAAAAAGTTTTGCAAAGAGAGAAACAAGCGATAATCGGAGGGTGCTAGGTCTGGGGAGTATGGTGGATGCGACAGAATTTCCCAGCCTAGTTCTGCGATTTTCTGACGAGTCGCAGAAGCAGCATGTGGTCTGGCATTATCATCGGTAGCCATGTTTTCACGATCGCGTCTCGCTTAATAATGACATGAGACATCTTTGTTTCAGTTTATTTAGGAGAGCACATGTGTGTAAATGCAATGATAAAGAGAGATAGTCATATATGTCTCAAATCAACATGTGCATACTGATTGAAACTTGAAGTGACACTATCGGACAGAACTTTCCGGTAGACCTAATACGACGATACGTTGTTCGCTATTGTGCATTTTTGTGGGAAAGTAAGTAAAAGAATTTGGGAAAGTAAATGTAAGAAATAGAGAGAGAATTCTAGCGTTGTCGACGGATTGAAAAACTCGAGGGAAAGTGCTTTTGTTCTTCATTCACGTTGGACTATTAGACGGATCATTCTACTATCGTTTGCATTGAATTGTTTAATTGTTCTAAATAGTTCAGTGTTTTTTCGCGATATTTTGGTAGAGACGGAAATAAGAATATAGTTCTATTATTCTTTGGAAAGTAATTAACGATTATAAACGAATGGAAATTGGAATTACGGCGATACGTTGTTCGCTATTGTGCATTTTCGTGGGAAAGTAAGTCAACGAATTTGGGAAAGTAAATGTAAGAAATAGAGGGAGAATTCTAGCGTTGCCGACGGATTGGAAAACTTGAGGGAAAGTGCTTTCGTTGTTATTTTATTCGATTTTATAATTAACCGGTTAGCTGTGGCGCGTTATCGTTAAATGTAATGATAAACGTTGCTTCTTCGTATAAAATAAAAAGTGTTCGTTCACTGAGAGGTCTTCGTTCACGTTGGACTATTAGATGGATCACTCTACTACCGTTTGTATTGAATTGTATAATTGTTTTAAATAAACATAACAATAACATAAACGTAACATGTGTGTAAATGCAATGATAAAGAGAGATAGTCATATATGTCTCAAATCAACATGTGCATACGGATTAGAACTTGAAGTGACACTATCGGACAGAACTTTCCGGTAGACCTAATATTTACCGGCAACGACACAGGAGAACCGTGTTCCCCGCAGGAACAAATTTCGCTAATCAACAATCGAGTCGGAATCGAATGATCCCGATTTTTCGGGCGAGAAAATGGAACGACGCTTTTGCACGTTTCTGTAAAAGGATTACATATTAGCTCGAACGCGGTTCAAGAAATTCAATTGGATTATGTTTATCACCGTAATCTCATTCCGCTAAAACGTTTTTATAGCCACTCGGAGTCACCTAAACGTGGCTGCACGTCAGAAATGCATTTTTAACAATGCACTTAACCGCGGACTTTCGCGAAACTCGTTCTTCAGAATTTTAGCTGAAAGATTAGTTGACGCACTGTTAAAAGAGCGAACAAATTACCGGATAAATTAACTTGTCATGTCACCGTTATAAATGGACTGCTAAAATAGAGTATTATTCTGTAAGGTGTTCGAAAGAATTTTTCACAAACGTTTGCAGTCGAGTAACAATAAAAATCGTCGAAAAATTGCATCGTGTTTTGATTATAAATATCTGGACAATTTTTTACGATTTTGCTTCAGCTGCAAAATTAGTTTGATGCAAAAAGTTATCGCTCTGTTAAAAGAGCGAAAAAGTTACCGGATAAATTACCGAATAATAAAAATCGTCGAAAAATTTCGTCTTGTTTAATTACAAATATATACAGAATTTATCAGGGTATGTGTGGGTATTACTGCGGACGCTCCAAATCCTGCGGTATTTTATAAAAGTAATAAAATCTAACATTTATAGTATGTCATTTTTTAAAAAAGGAATCTCATAATTTTGTACGTGTTTAATATTGATAATTGATGACATGTAAGTAACAGCAATCGTAGAAATAAATTCAGAGATCCAATATTTTTAGAAAAGTGAATATTCAAGTTGAAGAATAATAGGTTGTCGAGTTGTCCAATAATAGGTCTCGAGTTGTCAAATTATTGGCGTGAAAGATCTTGTTTTCTCTGTCAAAATTCGCCTTTTCTGAGAAACCGCCGTAATACCAACACTCACCTTATGGCTTTGCAGATTTAAAGCGTGAATGCTGAGTTACGTTTCCACTGTTTTAGGAAGCGGAAAGTGCCATCGGTGCCATGAACGGACAATGGCTCGGTAGCAGAAGCATTCGAACGAATTGGGCGACCCGCAAACCCCCTGCGCCAAAATCTGAAGGTGAGTGCTCGCATGTATAACTATTGAGGCCCTTGAGAATTTCCGGTGTTCATCGATAGTGCATGATTGTTGTTGCTAACAACCGATCAGGTGCTCGACAAATGGGAAACGCCAATTAAACGAACGCCATCGATAGTACAGAGATACGAAATCGTCGTCAAAGCACCGCAGAGTCGCGTTCATCTGTTGGCTTAGCTCTTCACGCCCTGGTTTTCTTTTAAAACAACCGACAACTGTACCGTGGACTTTTTAAGTGAAATCAAAATTCTCTAGGCCGATATAAAAATCTTATTTTTTTTTTTAATAATTCCGGCAGGTTGGAAACAGTACAGGGTGTCCCAAAAATGTCTCGCAATCCGAAAGTGATGGATTCCTCGGGTCATTTGAAGCAACTTTTTCCTTTACAAAAATTTTCTCCGAGGCACCGTTAACGAGTTATTAACGAAAAACAGTGACCAATGAGAGGCGAGCTCGGCTGGCGCGAGGCGACCGAGCCAATGAGCGGATCTGGGCTTCGTGCGCTGGTTGGCTGGGCCGCCTCGCGTCAGCCGTACTCGATTCTTATTGGTCACTGTTTTTCGTTAATAACTCGTTAACGGCGCCTCGGAGAACATTTTTGTAAAGAAAGAAGTTGCTTCAAATGATCCGAGGAACCCGCCATTTCCGGATTGCGAGACATTTTCGGGACACCCTGGATAATATCATTGCAATATTATTGCTACCGAGCACTAAAAATAACTGACAGGTTTTGCTTTATAAGAATTACGAAAATGAATTTATTTATACAACTTGCTATTTTCATTATAATGTATGCTTGAATGAGACATTTCACTCGACCTTTTCCTGCGAGTTTTTCTTACTTCATTAATTTTGAAAGCGGAAACGTGAAGCGGGTCTTTCTGTCTTTATCAATTTTGACACTAAAAATGCAAAACGAGTCTCCTAACTTCAGCAATTTTTATTGTAAAAATATGAAACGTGCCTTCCTAACCTCGTCAATTCTAAAAGTAAAAAATGTAAAATCGGTCATTTTGAAATCGCCACGATTTATCATAACCTCGCCGATTTGCTTCGGTGTCGAAAACTTAACCCTTTGCACTCGAGCGGTGACTCTGAGGCACCATTAAAATTTGTTATATCACGTTCTAAGATAATTTTTATATTAACAAAGTTTAGATTTAAGTAATTGTTAAGAACGTAACTGTTGCGCGAGTCACAAGAGTCAATTTCACGTGCATAGAATGCACTTTGTCGTATAAAATAAAAATACTGTAAGCCAGAAAAATTATTTATTATTTATTATTAAAATTTATTTATTATTATTCTAGATTTACAGTTGAAACAGCTACGAGTGCAAAGGGTTAAACTTCGCAGTCTGGAAATCGATGCAACGGTAAACAAATTTACTAAAAAGAAAAAAAGAATATAAAAATAAAAAAAGTACAAAAAAATCTCGTCGAGTCAAGACAACGGGTAACCATGATCGTTTCGGTTGCCCGCGCAGCAGGGTTTAGAAAATTCGATAACGTTGTTTAGCGATGACGTTCGCGAACAGCGAACGAAACGGCGGACGCTTTAGAGAAGGATTCGGTGATAAAGAATTCGACGTCGGAACAAAAGCGAGGAATAGGAAGCGGCGATATATATTTGCGCGCCGGGATCGGGCTGACGGGATCCGAAACTGGCAGGCGAAATTAAATATCACGCTTCTTGTTCGCGGACACGGAATTTTCCTTTCCGCAACCGGAAATCCGTTAGCTCGACGAAATTCTCCGGCTCGGGGAATGGACGTGCACGATATCATTACTGCGGGCCGAGTTCGAAAAATCCTCCCCCTCCCCCCCTTAGCGGCACCTGCTGTCTCGTCCGGCGCAAAAAACTTTCCCCGTGTCCCGTCGTCCCGAAATGCTCGGAAACGGTTTTACCGTCGCTTTTGTCCGGCGAAGGAAACTCCTGCCCTCGTTTATTAACATGTTCACCGTGACCACGCGATTCGCGGTTACGATCGCCGTTGCATAATGTTTATTTCGCGCGAACACGTACAAGTGACTCGCGTTAACATTCGGACACATTTTACACCTTTTTACTCGTACAATGCACGGAGTAAGCGACGCTGTGAAAATAGAGGATCGAAAGGACGGTTTTGCTTTATAAAATTAACACAATTTTATTAGTAGTATTTACTTATTCACTTGATATTGATATATGTATACTGCGTAGATAATAAACGAAAAACGCGGGAAGAAACAAATGCTTATAAAAGTTAAAAATTTAAATTGTTGATGCAGAGTGGTATACAGCAAAGCAAAGAACTATGCATAATGGCACTTTGCAGATCGAACATCTCGATATCGCGATTCTTTCCTATTCTTATTTTTATAATAATGTAACAATTCTTCGTGTAGAATTAGCATCAAAATATTCTAAACGTTTTGAGATTTGAGAATACGTTTTTGTTTTCACTAAAATTGCAATTTAAGTGGCCAATGGTCGCTACTTTTTACGCGCGACGAGTATACTCGTCTTGATAGAAAATACTAAAACTTCTCCATGACGAGTATACTCGTCGTGACACTAAATATTGCCATTTCTCTATGACCAGTATACTCGTCGTGACACTAAGTATTGCCATTTCTCTATGACGAGTATACTCGTCGTGACACGAAATACTAAAACTCTGTCTCTTATACACATCTATATTATACCAAAACTTCTCCATGACGAATATACTCGTCATGACACGAAATACTAAAACTCTGTCTCTTATACACATCTATATTATACCAAAACTTCTCCATGACGAATATACTCGTCATGACACGAAATACTAAAACTCTGTCTCTTATACACATCTATATTATACCAAAACTTCTCCATGACGAATATACTCGTCATGACACGAAATACTAAAACTCTGTCTCTTATACACATCTATATTATACCAAAACTTCTCCATGACGAATATACTCGTCATGACACGAAATACTAAAACTCTGTCTCTTATACACATCTATATTATACCAAAACTTCTCCATGACGAATATACTCGTCATGACACGAAATACTAAAACTCTGTCTCTTATACACATCTATATTATACCAAAACTTCTCCATGACGAATATACTCGTCATGACACGAAATACTAAAACTCTGTCTCTTATACACATCTATATTATACCAAAACTTCTCCATGACGAATATACTCGTCATGACACGAAATACTAAAACTCTGTCTCTTATACACATCTATATTATACCAAAACTTCTCCATGACGAATATACTCGTCATGACACGAAATACTAAAACTCTGTCTCTTATACACATCTATATTATACCAAAACTTCTCCATGACGAATATACTCGTCATGACACGAAATACTAAAACTCTGTCTCTTATACACATCTATATTATACCAAAACTTCTCCATGACGAATATACTCGTCATGACACGAAATACTAAAACTTCTCCATGTCGAGTATACTCGTCGTGACACTAAATTCCATTTCTCTATGATGACTATACTCGTCGCAAAACACAAAATATTATACTAAAACTTCTCCATGACGAGTATACTCGTCACGACACAAAATACTGTAACTTCTCCATGACGAGTATACTCGTCGTGATACAAAATACTATCATTTCTCTATGACGAGTATACTCGTCGTGACACAAAATACTGTCACTTCTTCACGACGAGTATACTCGTCAAATACAGCTAACTGGTTAAAATATGTCCAAACATTAGCGCGAGTTTACTGTACGAAATGAGCAAACACAAGGCGCAAATCAGAATTGTCATATATAGCAGAAAAGCAAGTTTATAGACATTATTCGTATTTTTTATTTATACAATTTATACAATTATATAAATATATTACATTATTATATCATATTACTATATTATATTTATTATAAATTTATACAATTTATTTATATACATTATTCGTATAATGCAAGGTCGATTGTTGATTTTTAGACGTGTCAATCGATAAACCGAGACACTTTACGGGAAATTAAAATTACTAAAACTATCTACAACAATCGTGCGAGACTACGTGCATCGATATTAATTAAAATATGTGTTCGCTCTTATAATAATTGCGATGAGTTGAACAGACAATTCTTAATCGCATCCTTAATCATATTTCCGGCCCAAAATATACGTCCTTTTTAAGTACAGAAACGCTGCCACTTCTGTAAAGAATAAAATCGAAATAATTCTCTCCAGGTCATACGAGTTGCGAACGATTAAACGTCGATTACAATGAATTTCGAGCGATCGAATACCGATTACGAGAAATTTCGACGGCACGGTTTGGCACAAGTTTCGGTAGGAAAAATCGCACAGTGCCGTGAAAAATCAGAAATCCTGTTCCGGCGAGCTCTCAGGGGGGGGGGGGCAGTGCGCCGGCGCGACGACAATGCTAATCTTTTCTCTATTTATTATTTTCGGTATTTCGAGCGGGGGCCTGGTTGGTTTACGTCTTCCTGTTAGCGAACGGCCACCGTTGAATATTCCGTTTTAATCCTGGCGACGGCAGCGGCGGCGGCGGCGGCGGCGGCCAATAAAATTATTCAACGAATAAAACGGATGAATGCGAGCGGGAGTAGCCGTGGATCAATGATGGAACGGAAAGAGATCGTGTAAAAATAAATTGAACGGTGACACGGTGCAATGCGGCCTACGCAAACGAGCGGAAATATGGAAAAAAAAGGAACGTAACCCGCTATAATAAAACGGCGGCGCGTCTGCAATTAACGGCGCGCGGCCTACGCTTCGCGCCGCCGCAGTTCCCATTTGCGTCTTATTGTTTCCGTTTAGTCGAATAGCCCCTCGCGACACCGGCGCCGTTCTACTCTCCGGTCACTTTCACGTGTGCGCGACGCTAACGCGATTCGATTACATGCTTTGAAGGTGCGGACACACTTTTTTTCACGACTTCACCGTCCGTGCCCTTAATAAGCTGAACGTCACGCTCGGCGCCGGGACTAG